AGGGGGGTGTAGAGCTCTGGGGAGAATTTGAGGGGGTCTTGGTCGAGGGGGATAGTAGCGTGAGCGGCTTCGGCGTCGAGGGAGGGGGCAAGGGTGGTGGGAGGTACGTTGGTGGCGACCACTGGTTTTGACAACAGAGCTTCCTGCTGCGGTGGGAGGGAAGATGAACCTTTTCCGGTTGATGCCGCCTCTTGTTCCCTAATTACAACCACTTCCTCCTTCACCGCCGCAATCACCGAATTACCCCTACTGCCACACCCACTCCCACTCCTGTTCCCCCTCATGTGTGCGCTTCCACTCGCGGACGCAGCACCATTCCACTCTTCATGCAGCCTCCTCGCCAGCTCTTCATCTGTCTCCTGCCTCTGCTCCGTCTCCTGCACTGTCTCTGTACCCTCATCCACTTCCCGCCCTTCGCTTTTCTGCTTCTCCTCAGCCATTCCCCCAGCTACAGCAGCCACACCCTTCCTCCCAAAAAAAAAATCCAAATTTCTCTCTCTTGCGCCTGCTGCCGGGGCCCCCGACCCGTCGTTCTTCTTCCGTCTCTTTGACGGGCTTGCCATGGGTATGGGTATCTGTCGAGGCTGACCGCTACCTCACATTTGTGTTGGAGGGAAGCTCAAGACGTCATAGATGCATGCCAAGACTTTCAGATCTACCCCATTCGCTTTATCATGCCGGTTACCCTGAACTTGAACTTGAAAGTCGGATATCTATGGAGTTTCCAATCCATGACAAGAAAAAATCTTCTGTCAGGTTCTGCTATCCCCAAAGCCATCAGATCAGACTTATTATTCTCAGACCAGACTTATTATTCTCAGGCCAGAAATATGAAATCTGGCTTCATGGGGATCCAGTCCAGTAGGTGTTGTAGTTTATTTAGACTCTATGGCGGTGATTTGCGGGGCATATCTACACTTCTATTTGATTCCTTAGCGCATCAACAATACTCTTTTGTAACCCCCTAATAGATACATGCACACTTACAAGACTAACCCCCTCACTATCCATTCCATCCATCTCAAATCTGCCGAATTATCCATCTTTTGCATGCTGCAGGCTATACTAATTCATATGAACCTCTGCCTACCAAACCAAAGTCAGTCTAAGTCTACAAACCAGCTAGACTATCTGAATCCAGCCTGGTTTAGGCTAGACTACTCGCTCCACTCTTCCATATCGACTCCAACGCCTGACTAGCCCAACAGTGTGCAAACTTAACGGAAAATGCATATGTGTGGTTTACCAGGAGCGGCAGTGGCCGTTAAAGTAAAATCCAGACACCAACACAATCAACCATTATCTGAGCTTTCAATCGCGCAAAAAAGCCAACTACTTATACTAGAATGGTTACCCTGAGCTCTCAAGGTCATCCACACTTTCTTAATGACATTTTGTTTTATCGCTACCTTTTTCGGCGTTGCACCGTTTGGTGGCACGAGGCTATCTTTTATTGTGTGGTAGGGATTATGATGAAGGATCGCGAGTACTTGAGTGGAGGAGCAAGTTCCGGGGACTAGCAAAGGTCTTTATGAAAGTTAAAGCTAAGCGACTATCTGATCTTTCACCTCGCTAGTGCTTGGCACTCCCTTCGCTGGGCTAGGGGGTTTCAGCTCAAACTCCAACTAGACCCTCGCCAGACTACTAAACCGTATACACCAGAACGTAAGTTCTTAGTTACCCTGAAGTCGACCCCTCCCTCCATAGGCGTACTATGCCTGTTATATAGCATCCAAACTATTTGGCTCAAAGCCTCTTCCAGTAATATGGTATTTCCTGCACCCTGCTCAAATATACTCGAGTTTGCGGTTAGCAAACTCCAGCTCTGGGGAGGTGGTTTAATGAAATCAGCTCACCTGATCGCCAGTCACATCAATTCGCATAACTGGTATGGCTAGAAGAACATAGGCAGGACTTGTGCTATAATCTGATACCTGTATCTATAGCTATTTAGCTGATTAGCCTCACAGAACTCCCTGTATATAGATGGATTTGCAGCAGGATGGTGTTATAGCGAAGAAGTGTTAGTTGCGATTGCTGAGAATCGGGCGGTATCGTAATAACGAGGGCTGGAAAGAAACATCGTAGGGCTCAGGAAGCGGTGGTTGATGAAGCGGTGGTTGATGAAGCTGTGGTTGATAAAGCGGTATCACATGTTAACTTATATGTGGGAAAACTCGAGGGAGAGGATATGTTTGGGGTAGCTGGTTGGAAAGTGTGGAGGGCGTTTGGGTGCAGGTGGTAGGTCGAATCAAGGCCGAGCAGAGCGATATTCTCACCGCAAAGCAAAAAAAGAATAACGGCCCAGCTGGGAATTGAACCCAGATCACCCACCCTCTGCCTAGAACCAGCAGGACAATACATAGCAGGAATCATACCATTAGACCACTGCGCCTTTTTATGATAGCAAGATACAGCGCATAATCTTATACGCTCTTACTAAGTAGCCTGTGCCAGCACAAGCCAATACGCACAACCCACGTGTCTGTGGTTAGCTAGCTATAGAGTAGATTATTGAATTTAACCTTCGTGGCCTCCTACGTAAGGGTGTTGTGCCAACCAGACTAGTGGAGATTATAAGGCGCCTACGCAGCACTGACAACCGTAAAATCACTACTAAGGCAATATTACAGCCTGACTCCTGCTCATTTCCATCTCGACGTATCTAGGATTTCGTTGTGGCATTGTTAGCAGGCGGTATTGTATTGACGAAAGCTCGGTTGAAGGAGAGTCATAGGACTGTGCCTGCCAGACTACGTAGGACTTATGAATTGGTGGTTTGCTTAATGGAGACGCATGTGGGGAGAGGGTCATACGAGGCTAGAGAGGCCGAAAGAGGTAGTCTGGTTGTCTGGTTGGCACCAGAAGGTGAAAAAAAAATAAATGGCTCAGCTGGGAATTGAACCCAGATCACCCACCCTCTGCCTGAAACTGGCAGGACAATACATAGCAGGAGTCATACCATTAGACCACTGTGCCTTTCTATGATAGCAGTCTGCAACGTGTAATCTTGTGTTGCCTTCCTCAGAGTACTAAGCCTAGATAGGTGTGCTCGGTAAACTGCCTCTCAGTAGCCTCTCGGGATACTTGTGGTTTCGGTATTCCCATTCTCAAATACCTCAGGCCTAGCTCCATCCCGACATTGCCAATCTTGCAACTTTATAGTCTAGTTGTGGCTCCCCCGATCCGTTCCAGAGGGCGCTGGTTCTAATTCTTCAGTTTGCTACATGAACTTTTAAGGAATTCGTGCTTGTGACCTTGAATACATATTGTTGCAGAGTTTCCTGTATTTAGAATTCGTTGGCATTGAAAGTCCTATATGGGTCTCATCAAAGACTTAAGTATCTGCGGATCATTCATGTTATCACAGCGGCGGCCTGGCCTCACTTGATTATATCCATATTCTTATCTGATTCTATAGCGTATCAAGCTTGGCACAGCGCTCGACCCCCCCCCCCCAAACAACAACAGAGACTACCTCCAAATTCAACCAGACTAATAACCTCCTAATATAACCAGACTATCCTAATATAAACATAAAGTATATATGTACTTCTTATTTACACATCTTAATTAGTCTCGTTGGGCACCCCCTACTTAATTCCTTATATCAGGTGTACTTTTGCAAGCAGACTAGTTAGGATATAAAAGACGAGGGTTTAAACCTAATCTCGAAACCCTAAATCCAATACGAATGATAATGTTTAAGTTACCCTGAATCTTCTCAACCAGGGTGGAGTGCACCCCCTCCACAGGAGGAGGGTCTTGCAACCAGACTAAGTGCACCCCTACGCCTGTAGATATTAGCCTCATACCCAAGTGACCACTCGCTTAGCTAACTACGTGCCTATGTATGCAGGTGTTTATGTGAAAATCACCAGGACCTAAAGTTGCTGCAAACAAGTGAGCACATAACATTGGAATTGATTTGGCTTCTTAGCCCCCAACAATAATATTATTACTTGTTCGGATTCGTATTCACTACTACGAGGGGGTTGTGCCGGGCTATATTTGCTAAACGACTTTACTAAGTAGTCTGTGCCATATAAAACCGAGTTTTAATGCAGGTTTGGTGCGTAGGCTAGTCCATTTTACTCTTGGTGGAGATTGACTAGGGTGGCCAGATGAAAATGAGCAGGAGGCAGGTTGTAATTTTGATAGACCTATAGAGTATCTGTGTCACTAGCGCTGCATAGGCGCCCTGGTGGAAGATATGTCATGTATATAACAGCAATAGGGTTGCCTAATTGCACTGCTAGTAGGCAGTGCATCATGGACAAATGCTATGTTGAAGGGGCATCGTAGAACTTCAGAATTGGTGGTTGATAGAGTTGCAAAAGGAAACTAAGGGTATTATTAAAGCAAATGCCACCACCAACCTTGATGCGTGTTTATGGCTAACAAGTAACTATAGTATAGTTTATTATTCGAATTTTCACCTTCGTGGAAACCAGATAGCTAGGGTGGCCAGATGAAAATCAGTGGGAGTCAGGTTGTAATTTTACTAGGTTTAAAAGTTGTGTTTCGATAGTTTAGCTAGCACTGGACATAGATGCCTCTCGTAGAAGATATGCCGTGTATATAACGGCAATAGGATTGTATTGTGGCATTGTTAGGAGGTGGTGCTTCATTGACGAAAGCTAGGTTGAAGGAACAACATAGAATTCAGGAATCGGTGGTTGATGAAGACGCAACATAGAAAAAGGTCGTACGAGGATAGGGATAATTTAAAAGCCGCAATCAGACAATAAAGCTGCGAGATAGGCAACATTGGGATGGAGCTGGGCCTAAGGTGTTTGAGACTAGGGATACCAAAACCACAAATATCCCGAAGTGTAAGTTCCTAGTAGACTCTGGCATATCTGGAGGTGGGAGCTAGGAGAGTAGTCTGGTGTAGGAGAGGCAGTTTACCAGGCACTCCTATCTAGGAGACTACCGAGACTTGGTGCTTCGAGGAAGGCAACACAAGACTACGCGCTACAGGCTGCTATGATAAAAAAGGCACAGTAGTCTAATGGTATGACTCCTGCTATGTAATGTCCTGCTGTTTTCAGACAGAGAGTGGGTGATCTGGGTTCAATTCCTGGCTGTGCCGTTATTATTTTTGGATTTTTTCATTTCTTCTTACCGAATAAATGTGAAAAAAAGGTTCTACGATAGGCTGGTGCCCGCCAGACTATATTATTTTATTTGGAAGGGAAACTTTTGGTCAGAAAAGCTCCATCTCCACCCAAACACTATGCCAACCAGACTACCAAACGCTCTTCACCTTGCTACCCTACCTCTAAACGTAACCCCTTCCGATGCCAGCCAGACTACCAGACTATCTCCCTTCCAGCCTTCCTTGTATGTTCTCGTTCCAGATGACGCTGGGTCCAATTCTTTTGGTTCCCTATATACATTTTTACAATAATCATATTCCTGACTTTTTAAGGAGTTCGTATTTGTGACTGTTAACAGACATTGTTGTTGCTGAGTTGCTGGCGTTAGTCTGGTTAGCACGCTCGCATTGAAAGTAATATTTTGGTCTGTTCCGAGGCTATATGCGGCTGACTAGCCTCACTTGATTATATCGATGTTCTTATCTGATTCTTTAGCGTATCAAACCTTGGCAGAGCTCTCAACACCCCCCCCCCCCAAAAAAAAAAAAACAACAACAGAGACTACCACCAATAAAACATACACACCTTAATTGGTCCCGCTGGGCACCCACACACCAATCATACTAGCTCTCTATTCCTTTCACAATTGTGCATGTACTCACTCCAGCCTCAGCGCAGGACTAAGCTCTGTCCAACAAGAGACACTATCGGCCGGAAATATTAAGTATGAACGGGATGTTTTCGAGAAGAGACACAAGGACGGGTAGTCGCTAGAAGGTATAAGATTTCAGGGATGCTGGTGGAGTCCAAGAATCGAGGCTAGGAATCCAACACAATCGAATTTTTGGGTCAGCATGCGAAGTCCATTCATAATGAGATAGTTACCCAGAACTCTCAGTCACCTCTCTCACCCGTACGGAGGGTGTTGTGCCAACCAGACTACCTCTCACCTACTGCAACTACCATTTGAACTACCATTCGATTCAACGAAAAACATGTAGCTTACTCTCTACTTCAGTGTGTTGCCTCAACCAGACTAACTCTCTACAGGGTTTAAACCTAATCTCCAAACCCTAAACTCAATACGATCTGATTACCCTGAAACCCAACCAGGACCGAGTTCATGCACGGTATATACAACGCCTGTGGACATTAGTCTCATGACAAGACCCTCTGGCCGACCGAGCAGATGTAACCATATCCGGCGAGTTCACGGTAACGACGGGGTGTGCTGGATGTGCATTCTAACATCTCACCTTCTTGGAGCAATCAGATACGACGTGGTAGCCGCCCTCCATGGAGGATGCTGGCGAGTAGTCAGTTTTGCCTACGTGGTTTAGCCAATTGCATTGGGGGCGTGACTAGGTATATGCTGGGAGTGCTTGTCTTTGCCAGTTTCTCTTGTTAATGCCGTATCCGGGCTGGGTCCTAGCTTGCTTCCGGAGGACTTTACACGCCGCTCTGACACCTCTATGGATGGCGGTCGTCTGGTATCCCAGTATTGTACCCATTCCAGCTATCTAGGGGCGAGTTAATCCGCTCTTTGTTGCTAGCGATTCCGGAGTGGTTTCTAGCCCATGAGATGCAGTTCGGGCTGAGGAGGGTGTTTTGGCAGCCATGGAGTAGGACAGATGTAGTAAATTGCTGTGGGGACGCCCAGCAGTCCTTTCCTCTCACCGTCTGTTACCGTTGCGAGTTGGCCAAGATAGGTGGTCCCTTCGCTGTTTTCTGTTGGTCATGCTCCCTCTCCATTCTTTTGCGTAAAAGGCACCTGCAATTCCTATCGGTGCCTGCCCTGTCCGTATAGGCTATTCTCCATCCTTCATACAAGGCTCGCCCTATTTTGGCGACCCATATACCCTCTATTATTTAAGCTGCCGCCTGGGTCTGCGGGGCCAATTTTATTGCGGTGAGCTATAGGTCGCTGAGAGGTTGGAATAGTGTTGGCGTTTGTGGTGTCTCCGTATGACAGTTCGGTCACGAACTTCAGCGCATGCCCAATTTCAAGTCGCTATGGAGTAGTCTGTAGGCCCTCACAGAGTTAGTACGCCTCTCTTTAACTATTTAACGGTATTTTTATTTCATCTGGGCTTATAGAAAGTCTTGTATATTAGTTGAGGGATATTATCTCATCTTTCGAAGTGCCAGATTTTGATTGATATGCAAGCCGAGGGTGTGACCACAGGGGAGTGCTTCATGGCGAAAAGGAGTGCCTTCGCAAAATTTTTGTAGCATGTGGATGGGAATAAAGCCTTCAGACTAGCAGGTGGGCGACATCTAGAGCAGGTATAGGTCTATGGCGTTTGGGACTAGGAATTCGAACCGCAAGTACATATTCTTAGCAGGCTCGAGAGGAGATAGGTGAGTGGCTGAACGGTATTGGTACTTCTTGGAAAGCAACAGCTTGTTATCATAGAAAGGCACAGTGGTCTAATGGTATGACACCTGCTATGTAATGTCCTGCTGATCTCAGGCAGAGGGTGGGTGATCTGGGTTCAATTCCTAGCTGAGCCATTATTCTTTTTCTTTTACCTCGGAATCCTCTATCGCCACCTGAGCGTTCTTCATAGTCTGGTTGGCACCAGCATTCCTACCCTCGTACGGCATTTCACACACATGGCCCATGTGACTACCTCCGCCTAAAATCCCATCCACACTCTTCACATAGCTCCTCCACCCATATAATCCTACGTACAACCCATATCACATCTCGATCAACCCACCGCTCCCTGCGTCTAATGATTCTTCCTCCTATCTTTGGTCAACACGGTGCCTACGCCCGATTCCCAGCGATTACAACTGCCACAGGAAGCGCTACAACAGGTCACAACTATTAAGCCCAGTAGATTTAAATTACAGCCAAAGCTCCGCCTATGTAAGTCTTATAGGCACACTAGGCCTAACTAGCTAGGTTTGTTACCTTCACGGGAATCTCGTAATATCGTTAAAAAGATTAGAAGAGTTAATTCATTAACTACAGCTGACCTCTTTTGACGCGCAACAACATAGACTAGACTTTGTAGGTAAATATTGCATCATATTGCTGTACATGTTAGGCACTACTTAAGTATGGCATCAAAGAATATCGATGCTTTGTAATGAGTATCGTATATCTATCAGCCACAATAGGCCTCCTTCAGAGGTCGCTGTGCCAACCAGACTACACAATAGGATGACTTCAGGGTAACTATAAAATCAGAATCGGGTTTAGACTAAGTTGCCTCCCAGCCTAGAGAGGGGGATCAAGGAACGCTAACCATGGAAGATGGAAGATCAGGTAAGCGCTTAAGTAGATGTTTCTGATCCCGTCAAGACCGAATTAGCTTGCAGGGTGTATGCAGTCGTCCTCGGAACATTTGTTTCCTCAATTTTTTTGGTTTCCACACTCGGGTACAAGTACTCGCGACATCAAAATCCCTAGCGCATGAAAAAGAATAACTTCAAGCCCTCAACATTGCGCGGTAGCGGAAAAGGTAGCAGAGGGGTTACTAGGTGCAGAAGTCACCTTAAGGGTTAAGGAATCTCGGCAAATTGTGTTTAGGGATTTCGTGCGGTGAAAAGACTCCCCTGGGGAAAGGAGATAAAGGTGGTGCAACTAAGTTTAATCGTAGCACTCCAATCTCTGTTCTTTAGATTCAATGCAAATGATAGTCTGGTTTGCAAATGATAAATTCTCAGTTACTTGAATCCTCCCATCAAGCACAAGAATATAGCTAAAACATACTTGTACACGTTGTATACCATGCCCGTGGATATAGCATTGGAATTTATTTGGCCTATTAATGCCGAGGAATGATATAATATTGTCTGTTTAATCTCGTTTTCGCTGTATGGATTTGCTAAGTAGTTTGGACTAAGTTCATGTCCAGCAGTGTCTGGACACTTGCAGAATCTGAGCGAAAATGGGCAAAAGCGAGCTTTTCAGAAAAACAAAAATGAATAGTCCCTGACGTGTATTACTATCCACACCTTCGAACGGTAATACCAAATACCTGTCTAGGAGAGACTTCCCTCAAAGATCATAGTCACATGTAGTGTGTTCAAACTGAGGGTAGTGGTTGTAAAATCACATCCCCATACGAATTTTACCAAGACCACACCGAAATTTTGAATTCCAGAAGTTCAACAAATTGCACCATGAATACGCTTCTCATATTGGGAGAGAATGTGAGTTTCATGCCAGGTAACAGGTTTTGGTAACCTTGATCAGTTGTGAAAGTTTCAGACCAATTGATTTTCTTCAGAGTGAGTAATAGTTGTCAGTACCATATGTCCAGATATGCCAGTCTGCTTAAAACATGCAACCCGAAGTCCTTGTAGTTTCAATATTCCCAGTCTCAAACACTTCAGACCCATTCTTGCTCGAGATATGGTCTATCTCATTGTTTAATGGCTTTATCCCAACCCTCATCCCACAACCACTCGCGAAGGCATGCCTTTTTGCCATGAATCACAGCACCTTTTCATTGCAATCTTGAATATCAATCAATATCTAGTGAACTCCCAATATAATCTACACATTTTTTAGTCTCGTTGGGCAACCACTCCATCAAATCCCTGGTATTTAGGAGTAGTCTTGCAACCAGACTAGCTTTAATCCCTTTCATAATTTATGCATGTACCGAGCCCAGTTTCAGTACAGAACTAGGGTCTATTATACGGAGATACTATCGTCCAGAAAGATTAACGTATGAACGTAATGTTCTCCAAGTCAGGTAGCCGTAGAAGGACATAAACATTTCAGGATGCAGGAAGTGCCTACTCGGGTGGAGTCCAAGAATTGAGACAGGGAATCAATGTTTAAGACTGAAGATAAGTCCGATGCTTTACAGGTTTAACGAAGTGGGGCCCATCAAATACAATTGAATATTTCTTCAGTGTGCAAAAGCCCAATCATAATGATATTGTTACGTGAACTCTCACTCACCCGTGCAGCTCGACTTCTTAGATCTGCTTCTCACTGCAACTACCAATCGACTGCTCTACGGGTGGC